AAGCTCTATCCAACCTGTTCTCTCTGTGGAGGGAGAACTAAAAGCCTGAGTAGGTCAATTATCATCTCATAGGGCTGGATGTGTATAGGCTAGCACTACACATGGTCCAAGCTTTACAGGTAAGAGAAAATGCCCAAATGTCTGTCAATGTGTTTACAGGGTGAGGGAGTTCAAGGGGAAGACAACTTGTTTAGAGGAAGTTTTCCCTTCTTTGCCTCACTGGTTAGAGCAGCCTTTAAATTCCACTTATGCTTTTCTTCTATTTCACATGGTAATGTCCACTTTGCTGTTTGTATTCAGGAAGCATGTCTTGCATTTGGTATTTGAAATAGATATGATGTCCAACTACTGCTATTCATATTTAATTTTTATTGGGACTGGACATGGAGGACCTTGGGACATTATTCAAGCAGTATTTGGAAGCGATAGCATTACATCTTCCTCCACTTGGAGCATCTGAAATGCACTTCAGGTTCTGAAAACAAGGTTCGTCTCACCACAGAATTTAAGCAACCAAAACCATTCAAATTCTCCGTTTTTCAAATTCGTACCACAACTTAGGCTCATTGTATCCTCACCAAAAAATAAACCAATCACAAGCAAAGGAGTGACAGCAGGAGAAGCAGAAGCTGGAGACTGCCCAGAATTAAATTTCTTCATTTTCAGCTAGCAGTTTTCACATTAAGCAGAAATATTTTCTAAACACTGTAACCACTTTAGAGGCAGGCTAAAGACACATAAAATAATGGTTGCACTCAGCATTTCTTTTGTTTTCTTTTCCTATAAAGCCACAATTTCTTTCTGAGATTAGTCCAGTAATAAAGGAGTTGTGAGCTTTCACCCATATTTCCACCAGCATGACAGAATCATGAATCAGGAAAACAAAACTCATGAGATCACCTCAAAAATAATAAACACTGTTGTCGTTGTTAATTCTCTGATTTTTAACTCTTAGGAATTCTCATCTGTGTATAAACACAAGAACTAAAAATTTACATTTAAGTGTAACAGCTGAGATCTTCAGATACACCCACAGTACAGTTCTTGTAAGCAAACCTCTGAAGAATATGATATGCTATTAGATTGTGAAAATTTGTCATCCTGATGCCATGGGGTATTTCCTATCTCAGCATCACTTCTTTTTGCAGTTGTCCATATGGACTGACCCACTGCGATCAGAGGAAATTCTAATGACATTTTTGACAACAACCAGATGAAAGCATTCAGTACTGAACTTCTGCAAAGTAGCTGCAGCTATGTTGTGCAACCCCAAACAGCAATATTACACAGTCCCTCTACATTCACAGGATTAGAGCGAGCATTGGGAAGTGTTGGACAGTAATGCCTCGTGCAACAAGTGACAGTGTTGCAAACAGAAGGTAAAGTTTTCAGTGCTATTTAGGTCAGATTTCCAAGCATTTCTTTTGTTTTGTTTCATATTTAGAGGTTGTGTTGGATGGTAGACATTCAGATGCTAAGAAATGTTGCAGCTCACAGTGCTGATGAATCAAATCAGTATTACATGAAGATGAGTTCTTGTTTTGATGTCAGGTTGTGATCAGCTGAACTGAGGCTGGTCCATCTCACAGATTGCTCTCTTGGGTCATCATAGTACACAGATCCGTACAGATGCTATCCTGTCTGCCCCAATCCTCCTACCAATTGCTGAGCACTTCTAACCATTTGTGCCTGCTTCAGCTATCTCACAGTTTAGAACCCTCAGACAAACAGCATCCCTTGCTATTATTATCTCCAATGAGATAATAAATATAAATAGAATAATAATAAATAATAATAATAAATAGAATACAAAGACTTACTGTAAAGCTATACCTCTGTCTCCAGCTTAAACGGAAAGGACAATTTGCCATACACATCGCAAGGCAGCATTTCAATTCCTCATTTATTCTGGAAACTCATGCAAAGTTTTTCAAAACTGATTCACAGCAGATCTAATGATTAGAAACTTTGCTGCAATTAGATACCATCAGCATGGTAAACTCCAGACCTCTCTCCTCTCTTCACATTATCATTTCTTATTTTTCCAGCCTGACTCGAAACTGCAAACCCTGCTTGACTGAGGTTGATCTCTTTGGCACACATACTGCCTTCAAATTAATGCAGTTCTGATGGTTGTAAGGCTGCAAAGTCCCTTTGGAGCAGGCTTTCTATATGCCTACAGATTATGGACGATGCAGTGTCAGTAACATCACTGAAAGTGAGGCTGAAATATATCTAATAGTAACAGTCATGTACATGTTACAACAGATGAATTGTCCTGAAGCTTCTACTTTTCCCAGTATTCATTTGTTAAAGATAGTGTCCCCACAGAGCTAGGGGCTCTGCAGGCACACACTTTCCAGCCAGGTGTATCGGTCACCTGTTTTGACCTCTGGGATGGCTGGGCTCTTCCATTTCCTGACTGCTGATCTCCAGTGCTTCCTATCACTTAAAGAGAGGCTCATATTTGGCTTAAAGCAGATGCAGCAAAGCTTCTAAGCTGACTTCAGAGCCACCAAGAAATGGACATCACAATCTTCTCCTCTGCAGCATGTCCTGGAAATAATCACCCCCTGGACAGAAAATGGCACCTTTATTTCTGTTGGAGGATGTTTTCAGTTTCAGTTAATGGCTTCTGTTGCTTTCAATACCAGATTAAAGAGGCTTTCTATATCCTGTTTTTCTTCCACAAAACTAAAGTGAGCTACAACAAACTGACCACTGACTCCTCTTTCAAAGATGAACTTAATAATTTCTCTACAAAAGACTTATAATATTCTCAAAAGTGGTTTTCAATTTAGGGTCTTCTTTTTACTTCTTTTCTTGCAGAGCTGTATTTTTGAATCCTGGGTTTTTCTTTTCTTATACATCTAATTGTGTGTGATGGCAAGAGGCTCATAACATAGGCAGACTGCATGGCTGTGTGTGAAGACATTAATGCTATTTTTCCAGGCTTTCAGAGTCTGTCTTAAAGAACCTGGTGGAGCATAAAACTTTGGGACCAACTCAGAGAACCGCTATCAAAGTTAAATAATTATTTAGGAAAAAGTTCTGACAGATTGGTGGGAAATAGTGCACAAGTTGTGATGGGAGATCAGCAGGTTCGCTTTGAGGAAATAGGAAAGAGGAAATAAATATTTTTTCCTTCCTACCCATCTACTAAAACTGTGATTTTCAGATTAAAAGGGAGGAAGGGGAGCAGGGAGAGAGTCTGTCTTCCATCAAAAATATCTTTTTTAAGATTTTCTTGTTTAGACATGTTCTTGCCAAATCCCTCATCCCTGTGATAGGAGCAGCCCTGCAAGGGCAACACTCTTCTCTCATGTGACTCACTGAGTGCCTGCTTCAGACTAGAGACTTGAATGACAGGATGTAAGTACTTCTGAGATAATATGTAATGCCCCACTAAGCTCAAAAATTTATTCCATTTAGTTATAAATATTATTTCATCAGTACAATTTAAAATAAGGCAGCTGAATGTACTTAAAAGGATAAAGTGGCTCCAAGTACCACACAAGGGTAAAAAGCTACCAGAAACAGAAAGTAATGTGGAAATGGATAAATTTTTTTATCTCCCTTCACTATGAACTCCTCTGTTCTTGTATGAGCATGATACAAACCATGGATGTGATTTCCAGTGTTTCCAATGGAGCATGTTCTATCAAGCAAATCCAGTTTCCACTCTTTTTTTCTGCTCTTTTCTTCTGAGACCAACACTTGTCAATGCAGCTTGAGATGTAAGTTCATCTCTTGTAAAAGCACAAAGACAACCAGAGCCAGCCTAAGGCATGTGGAGGTGAGAAGCATTAGGAAAAGGCAGAGTTCTGCCCAGCCTTTTCCCATCTCCAGCACAGACTCAAACTCTGCCCAAACTCTGCTCTATTGGTAATTCCAGAGATATTACATATCCATTTGGGGAGTGCTACTGGGGAAAGTGCATGCCATGTTTCTATGATCTCTGTGGTTTTTTCCAACATTCAAGATTCTATAATTCTGTAATTGAATTGTTTATCAAGTTCTCTAACGCTTTCCTGTCCAAGGTGAGGACTGCTAGCACAGCCAATCAAAAAGAACAGACATTCTCCTGTAATTGCCAAACCTCTAATTCTGGCACAGACCTGAGAATTTAATCACTGTCTCCTCGTTTCAGTAACTCCTTACACAACAGTTCCCTTACTTGTCCACTTTTAGTTTTCATCATCAAACAGAGGAGCATTACAATATGCATCTACTCAGAGCTTCTTGTGTGAAGCAAGAACTCATCTTGGGTGTGTATGTTGGGTTTCTGGGGTTTGTGTTTGTTCTAATTTACCACAGCAAATAACTTCTATGAGTTTTTGAAAACATATCTAGACCATAAAAGCAATATTGTCGCTCTGACTTTTTCATTCATTCCTGCAGTACTATGTGCCTGAGTGGCTTTAGATAGATCAATGAACAGGTAAGGATCCTGGTTCCCCCATCTAAGTCACTGAGATGAAAAAAGTCCGGCTTTACACAACACTGATGTGAAAGTGTGCTTCACATACAGGCTTTTAGTGTGTGTCCAATGCTGAGCTTCATGTATTCACAGACAGAGGCACTTCAAGATCAGAATAAAGAGCAGAGCAAACCTTGAATTCCCATTCAGGCTCAATAAGAGTGAGAGACAAACTTTAGTGCCTTTACCAGTCTGTCCAAAAAAAAAAAAAAAAAAAAAAAAAAGCCAACATAGGAAAAAGAGCAACTGGGGACTGAACTTTACTGAACAAATATATTTTGGAAAAGAAAAAGGGAAAAAAAATATTTCTGTGCAATTAATTTAAAAAAGGTTATTTTGCTATTTTGTTTAACGTGTTCTCAACCAGCTCTGATGCAATGTGTTGAAAACCTCCCTATTTCTCTCAACCCATAGATAAAAGTTTCTTGGGTAGTGACTTGCATCAGAAACCTCATCTGTTGCAAACACTTTGTGCCTTCCTTGTTTCTCAGAGAGGAAGTATGTGGCCTGTTTGGCAAATGCTGCTCTACACGACAGCGTGAACTTCACAACACACTCATTCGCCTGGCTGCTCCTTGGCTTGATCAGCTCACCCTTGCTGGCAGCATGAGAGCAGTGTTGTGACTACGACTTGTTTGAGAAATACTGCAACCTGGAGTATCATGCCTAGCATTTGAAGGTAAAAATTAATCTGATGCATTTTAGATTATCTGCAGACAGGATCTAGTCTGCCTTTTTTTTTTTTTTCTTTTTCTCTATACAACATGGAACTTTATTTTTTTAGTAATTACAGCATTCAGACCATGGATTTCAAGTACCACCTAAGGTAGAAGTAGAAAAGCCTGCCTTACTACTTTTCATAAGGACTAGTAGTAAACATGGAAGGGACAAGAAGTGTTTGGTAGGTGGACTAGATGATCTTAGAGGTCTTTTCCAACCTTAATGATTTTTCATTTCCACAATTCTGTTTCTATTGAAAGCTGGCATTAATAGAGATGCATAGGACCTCATGCTGCAGCAAAACATAGCTAACTGAAACACAAAATATGAGAAATGTCATGGACAGACTAGTGGGCTTTTTCCTCAAAGTGTTAAAAGTTTGCATGATGTGGTATTACTGTGTTGTTTCAGAGTACTTAGATTTTTGCATACGAATTACCTTGGTTACGATATTACCTTGATCTTTCTTATGACAAAGATACAAGTGTCTAAAAATTGAAAGGATGCTAATTTTGATTAATGGTGAATTAAGGGAAATTCACACAAAAAATTCAATTTGTTAAATTAAAGCTTTTTTTTTTTTTTTCTCCCCTCTAAAAACAAACAAACAAAACCCCAACAGGTTACTGTTATCTTCATTTTCAAACTAAATGAAATTTAGATTTTACATGTGGACATTATTGAGAATTGCATTCTAAGACCTTGAAGGTACAAATGTCAAAATCAGGTAACAAAAATAAAATAAGGCATAACATATCAAGAATTATATATTTCCTCATTTTACTTGTCTGCAGTATTACCAATGGAACAGCTTTTCTTGAGCCCTTACATTTTGGTTTTTTTACTTCTCTTATTATTTCTGTTTATTTATGTTTCCTAATCTTTGATCATTTTAAATATAACTTTGAAAAAATCCTTACCAAGCAATGGAATTTTCCTCCATACTCTGTCATTTAAGTGCTACCAAGCCACATTTTCTCAGAGAACAGATTATGTGAGAGGAAATTATTACTACATGTGCTGCTTGCAGGAACGGAAGGTGCAAATTGTAGAGCAGGTTTTTGGGACGCATGATTTAGGTCAGTACGATTTCAGCCTTGAATGGTTTCACATTTGCCAAGAGCTCTGCCCTTAACAAATAGGACATAAAACAGAACTGGCTGATGTTTCTTTGCATTCCATTTGGTTACAAAAATAAAGCAGCAAAGCCCATTAGGTTGCACTAGTAGTGGGTTTGCAAACTGCCGTGGCTGCAGCAACCTGCTTTCTCTAAGCAATAGGTGCACAAATTGAAAGGGCCAAAGCTGGGGAGACTGAAAATGTAGTCTTAATGGTTAAAATAAGGTTTTCATGCAAGCCAGAGGAGGCCAGAGAACAGGCAGAGCCAACCTTCCACCTGCAGAAGAGGTGGGCTTGATTTGCCTCCCAACAGCTGCACTTCTCAGTGCAGGATTTGGGAGTGCTACAACAAGGTAAGTTTGGAACCAATCACCTCACCTCAGTTCTTCCCAAACAGCTGTCTGTGGGCAATTTTGTGTGGGTCTGGCACAATTATCTGCTTGTACAACTGAAGGATGCAGCCTCTACTTGTATACCAAACTTGACAAGCCCTGGAACAGATTCTCTATTTCAAAAGAATGTCATTTATAAATCTTGTTCCATTGTTTACTTAAATGATGAATGAGTTCAGCTGCAAGATGCTCTACAGTTTTGTCTTAAGTCTATTTTTGCAGAGAACCTCAAAATTTGAGGAAACCATCATACGATTTATCATAAAGTGATACAATGAATTTAGGTTAAGTTGTTAATATTCAATACAAGCACACACTACTTAAATTATAAAGACCTACCATGTACTTAAGAGTTCTGTGCAGTGTTGCTTTAGAAATACTTAGAACACCAATTAATACGCTGCTACCCTGAAAACAGTGATGTGTCACTGCCAGCATGCAAGTAGAAACAACCTTCTCCCTGTCCAACTTCCCATTTCTTCCATTTCTATCCTATTTTATAATGTCTGTGAGTTGAGCTATAGCCTGGGACATTCACTCCACCACCTTTAATGGAACAGCAAACACCTTCACTCTGCCCAAATACACAATGACAAGTATCCTTGGTGGGAAACCCAGGCCTGAAATGTCATTTTCCATTTAATCACTTTGGATTAGCAAATCAATCGCAGAAGCCCAACCTTTCCATTCATTTTTTTTTTTTTAATTGAACACTTCTGCTTTGAATTTAGAGCATATCTTGATGTCTCTGCCATCTTTGAGATTTTATGCTGCCACCAGTAGTAATTAGCGACAGTGAAACTTAGCCTGGAAAATGTAATGAAGCAGAGCAAACTGTCATGCTAGTGACATCAAAGTCCAAAATGCCACTGCGCTTCATTGTTACTGAAAGTACTTCGTAACACTTTTATTTTCCGTAAGTCAGATTCTTCTAAATGAACAGCACTAAGCTGTATGCTCCTCCATCCTGTTGACAGAAACAAGGTCATATAAAGTGGCAACTTGTACGGTAGAAGTGAGCCAAGCTAGTTTTCCATGTGGTCTACAGAGATACAACAAAGCAGGCACATGGTGTTACGCATACTCAATCCTTCTGGGCTAGACAGCAGTTCAATTCCCAGCTGTGTATCAGCAAGCCTTCAAGAACATATCAGGTGTTTTTAAAGCAGTGCTTAGAGTTTTGACTCCTATACACCATCTAGGAAAACAAAGGTGCCTTGCTCAAAAGGTCTCTTCTCCCACACAGCCATTGATAAGACAAGATGGAATGGCCCTTTATCTGCACCAAGTAAGGCTCAGATTGGATATTAGGGAAAATTTCATTGCCAAAAGAGCACTCAGAAGCTGGAATGGGCTGCCCAGGGTGGTGGTTGAGTCATTGTCCCTGGAGGTGTTCAAGAAACGTTTAGATATTGTACTAAGGGACATGGTTTAATGGGGAAATATTAGTTGTAGGCGGACAGTTGGACTGGATCATCTTGGAGGTCCTTTCCAACTTGGTGATTCTACAATTCTAAAAGTGCCGTGTTTTTAGAAAGTTTGCAAGTGCAGGGTAAAACTTTCAGAAGTTTTTCCATAATATTCACATGCTCCACATTACTTTTCCAAGTGACTCAGGCACCCCTGACAACGGGGTCCACTCTATCAAATGAATCTTAAGAGTGTGAGAAATGGTCTTGAAAGCAGCGTGCTATAAGTCTGCTCACTAGTAGGATGACTTGCTTTTCTGGCCCTCAAATACCAGAAAATCCAGAACAAAGGGGCACACAGAGGTAGGACTGTATCACATTTGTGTGTTTCTTTGTGACACAAAATTCGAATGCTATTCTCATCTAACTGATGGTCGCATATGTTAAAATTCTAAATGGGCCAACAACCATGTTGCCACGTTTGGCACCTATCCAGAATTGCACAAGCTTCTGGTAAGTGCGCCTCGGCATCAGCTTAGCTAGAGATGAACTGCCTTTTTAAGCACTAGACAAATATGATTACTGCATCACACTGAAGATTCTGTCTGGGTATTTATCCCATCTTTCTGGATGATCTTTTCAGCCCTGTAGAGCTCTCTATTATTGTGTCTAGGAAATTTTGCTGGCTGATCTGAAAATGCATCAGGAAAGTCTATAACATATGTACCAAAGCATTGTCTGCCCTATTACTTTGCCTATACCTGTTATTCTTGATGGTATATGAATGAGAAAAAATACTGAAGTAATTAAACTTAGGTTTGAAGAAAAAACATTCAAAGTTAGTTTGGAAAATTATAATTTTGCAAGTTGAGAGTGCCTGGGAAAATGAATTCTGGGTTTAGTTATAGAAACTCAGGTGTATTTTAATGGAGAATAATCTAGAACATTCTATCAAGAATGACTTTTTGTTCAAATATAAGTATCAATATAGCATATTTAAATTTAAGGTTACTTTTTAAATCGTTACTATTCAGCCTGTAGATTCCTTATATCAGGCAATGGAAGAAGTTCTTGTGAAGCAGATTTGAGTCACTTGTCAGAAAGACACTGGTGCAGCTGCATCCTGCAGCTGTGTCACAAGCTAGATCCTAAATGCAGACAGCAAAAAGGACAATGTGCCACTTGGCCGGTGAAATAGAGGCATCTACCAAAAGCCTTTGGAAACAGAGCTAACAAGTTTGAAAAGCAAATGGAGTCGGACTGCACACTACCATTCTGTTTCAGCACTGATCTGCTTTTCCTTGATTAGAGGCAAAGTGTTTTCCTTTAAATAGTACTTTATTCTCAAGGGTGTCTAATTTTCTCTAAGATGTCAAATGTGCATTGTATTAAGCAATATCTTCAAATTCCAAGACAGTTAATAATAACATATCACTCACTGCCTTCAGCAGTACTGCTTCTCAAGCTAGACACCACTCCAGCTATCGCTGTCAGGCACTTGCCTGTCATAAGAAAAACATCCTGGAGGCAGTATTCAATTTCAAAATATCTGTAATAGAGAAAACTGAAAGATACAGATTGCATCTCACTTTAGTATAAATGCACCAGGTGCTGCAGGATCATATTTTTCATGGAGAAAATTACAAAAGTAGTTTTTTTAAATCATTGGTTATTAGCTAGTAGTGCTTAGTTATTTTAATGTACAATTTTGAACAAATACAGCTCATTCTGCTCTGGAAATGTACGATAGCAAATGAAAACTTCCAATCCAAAAGGTAAGCCTGTCTGCTCACTGTTACGGAGAATCAGAATGGGTACCTGAGAATGGATTCTCCCTGTGGTTATTTTAGTTCCAGTACTGCCTGACAAAGCGTTTCTCATACATTCACCCAATAGATAAAATTTTGAAGAATTTGCGCAACTGCAAGAGGAGTGCTCTAAGATCAAATGTTTGGGGGCAGTGTGTTACTTTTAAGAAAAAAAGAGAAGGAAAAAAAAAAAGGAAAAAAAAAAGGAAAAAAAAAGAGGAAAAAAGCATTGCCCCCATTTGCTGAGATCACAACTGCATCAGAAGAAAACCACCGAGCAACACTCTTGGTGTTCGGCAATAAAGCAACACAGTACACAGAGCTGAAAACAGATGCGACAATCTAATTAACTAACTTCTTTGTAGCTTGAGAACTCCAAGTGCTGCAAAGAACATTTTTATACATAAATGACTGTACAGGCATGGCTTTGCAGTGACTTCCTATTGTGCTGAGGTACTGGTAATGGAAACTTTTACTACATTACGTTCTTCTGAGCAACTTCCCTAGCTGTGGTTTTCTGCTATTCCCCTGATAAAAGCATCAGAGTGGTGAGAGCTTAGCAAATATGTAAAACTCTCACATGAATTTGAGACTCATTCTCAAAAGTAAAGCCATGTAACATCGGAGACATCAAAACTGGGTTATTTTTCATGTGTTGGCACAGCAGGTGTTATTCTGCAGTTTAAATGCAATGTTTCCTTTGATTTAGTTCTGAATTGCTTTGACGGAATTAGAGAGCGCAATGGGAAACACTATGAAAACACCGAGAGCCTCCGCAGAAGGAGGAGAAGAAACAAATGGGGCAAGCCAGACGGGTAAGGACTCATTTAATTTCTTTCAAGAGCAAAAAGGTGTTCAAAATATTTGATACCTTCATTCATGCATCCATTCCTTAATCTGTCTGATAGAAAAATCAGGCAAGTGTGAAGTTTTCCTGTGGGACAAGGAAGGCATCTGTAGACAGTGTTTATTTTTAGGTATGTCCTAGCCCAAAGTTCCCAGAATTACTTTAATTAAAAAGATATAATACTTTAATACTTTTATACTCTGGTGTCTCCTGAAAGATGTTCGTTCCAATTCAGATAGAACTGATGCATTGGAAATGAGAAATATCTCATTTTGACAAACTTCCATGTGATGTTTCACACAATTTTTCTCTTGAGCTTTAGTTCTGATCTTTTTAAAGGTTAACTATCATAATGCTATTACATCAAAACTGAACCTGAAATTTAATCTTGCACAACTGTATTAAAAGTAGCACATGGCCATCTTTCCATGTCACTAAGTTTATCAACTAAGGGTATACAAAAACAGATGTTTCACAGGTCAAGCTTGAAAAAGACAAATCTAATGCACCTACTCCAAGCATGCACAAATGAAAAAATTGAATTCAAATTGCAAAACCCTCCATAGGTTGATAGAGATTGTGTGTCTGAGATAGAAAGCGGGAGATCTCCATTGACCTCCCACTCTCAAACTGCAAATGAGTGGGTAGAGACTATGCACAGCCCTAGCTCTCATCATGCTGCACTGTGCCAAACAAGTGCAGCAGTAAATTGTTCCCCAGAGATGCAGAAGAGAAAAAAAGCATTACTGTTGTTTTTAAGGGGTGGGAGGAGGGTGTTAATCAAAATACTGGGGCTCTCCAACAAGGATTGTCCACTTGTACTGCTTGGCTTTGTAACGATGGAGAACCAAGCTGGTTTCCTGATGGTTCAAATGAAATACAGCCTGCTTTTAGCATTGCCAAGAAGCAGTATAGCCCTAGGTCCTGATAAAGCATAGACCAAACACTTAGTGGCAAACCAGGGGCACACAATACGAACCATCCATTTATTTATTTATTTATGAAGAGTGCCTATGCTGATCTTCCCAGCAACTGCCACCATAAAAACCAAACTATCAAAACAGAAACGCACATTTCAAATGACTGCATAGGTCTTTTGATCTCTCTCAATTTTGATCAGGCCAGTAACTTTTGTAATGGCTTAAAAGTTTCTAGTTAAAGTCAGGCACACAAGCATCAGCACTGTCATTCAAACCCAATGGAAACAACTTTTTTTTTTTAAATGGAACACAGAACTAAAAGCAGATATTGTGGTAATCCAGTGAGTATGTTTCTATTTAGTTTCCTGAGCAGATCAAACTTTAAATCATGTTATTAAAGAGAAGTTTTCCCTCAGGCCAAGAAGCTGGCAGGTTTAGATCTAATTTGAGTACACGTTAATGTTGGTTCTGCAGCCACACCTCGTGGCAGAAGCACAGCGCATCGCCCCGCCACACCACTGCTCTCCTTTAACACCTCTGGGATTTGATATGCCATAAATCACAGTATTCCTGTCAGACATTAAACCATGGGACCATGCAGGAATTAGGATTTGGATGCACAGCCTGTGCTCTCCCTCCTCTCTTGAACAATTTGGTAGCGCATTCACAGCTGGCCTCTGAATGAGTACTTTGGGCCATGCAGGATTCAGTCTCACACCTTTAAAGACATCTAGCCATGCAAGCATCTAAAACTAGCTTGTATTTCATACCCATCTTTCTCTCCTTAAAAAAAAAAAACAAAAAACAACGCACAACAACAGCAAAACAAACAAACAAACAAAACAAATAATACCCACTACACCTTACTGAATGGAAAGGATTCAGCACTTTGATCTTTCCACTCTAGTTTTTGAGTTGTTCCATTTCACTTGTCACCTACACACTTAAACTGTGAAGGAGTGGTTGTGTTAGAGGGAAACTCAGTCAATATAGCTGAAATTTGGGTGTGGAGAACCAGGGTAATCTCTTCAACCCCGTTTCATGGCTTTTGTCTTTGAAAAGAGCTCATATGGGTTTTGTGAAACACTGTAGAGTGCGGTGGGGTATTTCATATAACCAAAAAACCCAGTGAGGTTTGATTTAAATACAAATTAAAATGAGGGCTTGTTAGTGGAGTGGGAAACTTGAAAGGTTTTGCATAATATAAGTACACACATTTTAAGTGGTTGCATGGATGCAGCAGCCAACACCATGATTAATTCCTTCCTTTTCAGACCTCCAAATTCACAAGCAAAAATGAAACTAAAACAGATATAAAGATGAAAGCATAATCAAAATAATGCAGATCTTTCTAGAGCAGAGAAAAAATCATGTTCTCTGCAGTGCATAACAAAATGGAGACCACCACATACAATAGAAAAGAGGGCAGAAAAGGACTTTCTACTCTTTCAGTGTGGAGAAAGAACACTTAGAAATAAGTTTTTAAAAAAGCATCGCTAGAGAAGATATTTCTTCACTTTTAGTGCATAACAGGAAAGTGATGCAAGGCATGTTTGGCACAAAATGTATAGCTCAGTGAATTACATAGGATACAGTTCACTAATCATGGCAATTGGGTGATACAAAAGTGCTGGACTAGGTCTTTTCAATTCAGGGACACTTATCAACTAAGAAAACCATGTAATAATAACACAACATGTATTGACAAATTAATTTGTGTCTACTCTAGACTCTAGACACCTATATATATCTGTAAGAATGCTTACTGTTTGTATCATAGGACTATTTCATTCAGCAACAGATAAGAAAACTAAACAAACTTACAACCACTTGGAATATGAATGTGAAAGGACTTTCCACATTGCGTAATGCTCGCCTCTGTATCATCGAGCTACTCCAAATTAACTGAGAAAATGTTACTTTCTGTTTCTTTTAAATGATGGATATGGAACATTTTTCTTATCACATGTTTTTTACTATCACTGCTGTAAAGACAATTAGAAGTGTTAAACTAAGATCATCTATCAACCCACCACCACTATGCTCATAAAACTCACCATCGTTCATTTGCAAATCTCCCACCTGTCAGTGTTTGCTGGGTGCTCCTGCTGGATGAGAAGCTTTTTAATGCTTGGTAGTCAGTTTTGCTCAAAGTGCAAGGCTCCATCTCCCTCAGGAATCCAAGGGCTCAACACATGTCCTTACAGTGCTGCAAGACCCAGACTCATCCTGACTGATGTAAAAGCCTTCTCATCTCTTTTCTGACCTCAGTTCTGGGACTTGCAGTTACATAGTGATTTAATTATAAACATGCATTTTGTCTCTCTTCGTTTATGGAAAATAAGGAGCATCATGTGCCACCCCTAGGACAGATTCAACATAAGAAAGAGAACGAGAGCCTCTGGCTGTTCATTAAAATGACTCACAAAGGTGATGGGAAATGGGCAATTATAGCTACACTCACACTGCCCTTTACCTGAACTAATTTCATGATTTCAAAATGTACCAGTGGTGCTAAACACTGGAACAATTCAACACACATCTTCATCTCCTTGAAGGAAAATATGGCTCAGAGTTGTAGCTGGAGGCACTTAGAGACAAAGGCATTCATCAAGTCTAGGTTACCTCACAATATTATAAATACTCATTTTGATAGTTTCAAAACTGAGCATGTCCCTTGAAAATGATAATTACTAGAAGTGGCCTAAAATTAGCTAGTTATAATTAACTAAGTGGCCTTTTTTTCATTTCTAGTATCTTCACATTCTTCTCCAAAGCTATAGGCTTTTTATGACTTTCTATAAAACAGAACATACACATTTCTTCCATTCTTCTTCAGAACTCTATCACATTTTCTGTCTTTTTTAACAGGTCAGGAGAGTGATTTCCTTGCTGTCCTCTATGACTATCCCTCAGCAGACATAAGCCAACCTATATTTCATGTAGGAGAAAAACTACGTGTGCTATCAGAGTAAGTAGATACTTTTTTTTTAATGTTTTGTTACAATTGATGATGTTAGTCATCAATTGTCATTGTGTCATAGTCTTTGTGTAGACGACTCCAAGTGGATGCAGTTCACCAAAATGGACTGTGTTTAGAATCAACAAGGAAGGATTCTTAGACATAGTGTAAATTTCCCTAGATTTTAAAGATTAGGTATGTCAGGGTTTTTTCCTCTGAAATGGCTTCTGAAGATAGATTCAGAGTATAATTTTAAAAAGGAGTCAAAAGTGAATTCTGCTTTAAAAGATGATTTTCAGAAAGCACTCATACTTGTGGAAAACAGAGTGAGCAAAAGTAGTTTGAATTAGGTACAAAAGGAAAATGATTCTGAATTTCAAGCATCTCTTTCACTCCTTTTAATCTAACAACTCCTTCCTGGTTAGGACTTTGAATTTGATCCTGCATTTAAGGCAACTATAACAGAAATAAAATAATTGCTTTTCTCTTTATTTTTAAAATTCAGTCTGCATTTTTTTGATAGAAAAAAAAAGTCAAAGATTTCCTTGCTATTTGTACTCAAAAATTTACAAACCTCACAAGGAAGCAGGCTCAAGAAAAACAATTACACTAATTTAGGCTGATTTTAAATATAGTGCAAATATTGTCACATACCCGTATAAGTACACTTCCTGAAAAATGGGCAGCAATAGAGCTGTTATTCCTTTTTGCACAACTTGTATCTGCACACTATGACCTCCTAGGAGTTATTCAGCCCCTGTTTTCACAGCTTAAATAGAAATGAGAGATTTCATTTTCACAACTGGAGGAGCAGATGGATTTAAGAGGAGATAAAAGACATTCATATCAGAGAAATCCTTTGAGGATCTCTAAATTCATGGCAAACTTTAACTGGAGAAGCCAAAACATGAAATAGTTAGAGGACAGAAGTACTCAAGAGAAGTATCACAGATGCTTCATGAATTCTCAGAGACTTCTCTCACAGCTGTATACAGACCCAGAATGGCTGCTGCCATGTTCTGTTGACAGAGTGGTTTCCCTAAACATGGAGATCAAAAAGCTCAGACACTACCACAAGGTAATTTTTTTTCTGATAGAGAGCTTCCATAAATCAGTGTCACTCTCTATGAAACTATGATTGCCTTAGCCTGGAAATCCCAGCTGAAAGTTTCACTCCCAACTACAAACAAAACTACATATACCTACAACAATGGGAACTGTATGTATCATTTGTCATATGTATATGCATGTGTTGTATAATATGATCTGCTAGACATAAAACATCTGAAAGTACTAGGCTACTACTGTAGCAGTTTTTATCACGTTTATCTGTTGTGCAACCATCAAGAACATTTCCTGCAATAAACAAGAGCCAAAGTAAGCCCTGATAAGAACTTTACTCTTCCTGATTTGGATCAACTTGTGCAGACAAAAAGCAATGCTCTATGCAAAGCACCATGTCCTAATGAAGGACCCTGTTCTTCCCAACTGGGATGATGTTAACAGGAACTATTTGCATACAGGTTCTTGCTCTGTGTACATAACCGTTAGGTATAATCATTCTCTCAAGTCATTCAAAGAAGCCAAACACAATGGAAAAGAAAAGCAGAATGGAAGGCATGATCAGAACATAAGTGAGAAGGAGTTACCATGGAAAAGCATTAGAAGACAGCACATACTGCTCTTGTAATAACTGCTTTTCAACCTTCAACCAAAGCAATTAAGTGTATTGGCAATCAGCTCTGTGAATCGTACCAGGAAACTACAACTCCTCACAGATACTGATGACTGCTCTAGGTTGGCACAATTAGATCAAGACCACTGACAGCATTCTACACTCTCCACACTCATCCAGGAACTGTTCATTACCTAGGTTGTGCTAGTAGGACCAGCTGTCCTCCGGAGAAATACCCCAGTGTATATGATTTCTGTGGCTCCTGCCCCAGGGAGGACATGATGCTCTTGGACTTTTAACCACCACTGGGATTTTACAGCATTAGTAATGCTGTAGTTTTTAGGGAGGTATATGCTGAGTGTCTCCAATTTTTTTTATTCTCACAATAATGGGTTCTGAGAGTTCTGTGGGAAAACAAACACACAAACAAAAGTTCCTGAACTTTTAAACTATTTCACAACACAACCACAAACAAGACTTGCAAAGTCCTGAAACTTCCAACTCTAAATAGCAGACTTCTCTTTTTCCTCCAGTTCATACTTTCTGGACCATGATGCCAGTCATTATAAGCCAGGAGGTTTAACTTAGTGTTTGCAACTCAGCTGTCTTGACCTAGACTGAGTATTGGATCTGCTGTCTGGGAATTATTTGGAAGCATTATTTTGGAACTGCCACAAAAAGAGTATTCAAACACTATTATTTGGATTCAAATCCTTAAAGGAAAAGGTGGAGAAAAAAGCATAAATCATCCTAACTCAGCATTGACATAATTCCTTTCATTAGTCTCTAAAACACTGTAGCATCCCTGTGAAAATTTTTATTACTGCCCTCCAAAGGGACTCAAAAGCTAAAGCTTCATCAATAATCTATGTCAGATCAATGAAGAAACATATGCCTGGTCACACACATTTGGCTATAAGTTTTTTTGGGGGGAGCCTTTTGGAGTAATTCATGGAATAAAAGAGAAAGAACAAACCATGAAGCAGTTCTGTTAGATTGAGAACTTGTTTCATTGCAGACAGAGACCATATGCTGAGCTTCTCTTCCCTAATGCTGCAGGAGGAACTACAAGGCTGTCTAGACACAGCATGCTCAGCCATAAGCTGAGTGTCTTGGATACCACGAGAAGTCTAGCTGTGGGAAGACAGAGCACAGCATGGTTTAACCACTGCATATTTACCCTTCTTCTTTTAACTACAGAAAAAAATGTTTTATTACTTACGCAATTGAGATGGAAAAAATGCAGCTTATTTCTGTGTCCAAATTTAATCTCAAAGAAACAGCTCTAAATGAAGCAAACATGGGTCCATTTCTGAGTGTGAGAATTCAAGAACACAGATGGTTATAGGCTAGCCTGTACATCTTAACTCACTTCTAAAAGGAGGACAAGCTCTGAAAAAGTATCTGAAAATATCCCTTGTCTTGCTTTCACACAGTGAAGGAGGCTGGTGGAGAGTCCATTCACTTACAACAGGACGAGAAAATTATATTCCAGGGAAATATGTAGCAAAGGTTTATCACGGGTAAGTAAATGCATTTCCCATAACAACTCAACACTAATTTTTGTACGTTTACTACACTGATTAAAGTTATTCAGTGTCATAATAACAACACCAAGAATAACTAGAAAGAATTTTTGTTTATTGATATCCTGATATAATTCCTCAGTTCCCTTGAAATCTGACATCAGTTGACATCTAAGTTTAGAGTATATTCAAATGAAAAACAGTTTTAAATAATTGCAAGGGTCAAAAAACTTTTGATTTCACATGAGATAATTAAAATACTTCTATTGTGAGGACTGATTTTTAATTCTAAGATCTCAAGAAAGTGATCTGGTTGAGAAATAACTTTTCACAAAGAGTAAAATGGAAGTCCTATTAGTTCATGAAAAAAAAACAAAAACAAACAACCCACAAACAAATAAGAAAGACGAATAAGTCATTCAATGAAACAGCTCAGGAATATTCAGAGCTCTCTTGTTGCCCTAGACAACAGTCAGGAAGAAAACATTGAAGCATACACTTAAGGTTTTTCTAGAAAAGGGTTTTAACACCTGTTTAATCTTAAGCATACGAACTGTGAACTTAATTGGGATTTATGCAAGTGCTTAAATTTTAATATCTTCTATACCCTCTTGAAACAGAGATACTTTTCAAAATGCGAGGCACAGACAGGCACTTTCCATTACCATGTTTGAAGTTTCCCCAAGACAGGATCAAACACAGAAGAATAACATTACTTTAAAGTACCAGTGACTCCTACACTAGTACAGCAAGCTCAGCTGTATCATTACTGACTAACTGTAGAAAAATACTCTGTCAGGTTATCAGGAGAATTGGTGATGACGCTTTCCCTTATTCAAAAAAGCAATTAATCTAAAAGACTGGAGTGTTCCCTAGCATAAGGTGAATCATTTCATTTGGGGTGTATTCCCTGTACAGAAAAATACAATCTGTGTTAACAAAAGTTGCTTAAACAGAGAAGGAGGGACTAACTAAAACATCTCAAATGCCACATGGATATGTCCTTGGGAATCCAGATAATGGTAGCTTGAAAAGTTTTGTTTGCCCTAGTAAGTCCAAGACTTCTTTGTTCTTCTCTTCATCTCACAAAAGCTATTTTAACTCAGTGTGTGAAAATGGAGAACAAGATTTTCTCCATAAACTGAAAAATATGCCTGGACGTAGTTTAGAGAATAACTGCAGTTGTTTTTGCAGTCCCTTTCCTGGCTAATGCTGTACTTTCACGACCACATGCTGCTCTGTTTCACTGGTGTCCAAATTTCAGAATTTGTTTTTTCATCCTTCACAGCTGGCTATTTGAAGGGCTGGGGAGAGAGAAAGCAGAGGAACTTCTACAGCTCCCCAACACCAAGGTCGGCTCCTTCATGATCAGAGAGAGTGAGACTAGGAAAGGTGAGGAATATTTTTTCCCCTTTGATCTCAGGCATGAACAGTTTAACAAGCCTTAATTCTCTCCCTATCCCGCTCCATGTGGATAACCTCAAAACCTGAAAATGTATGTAATGAGAAGAAAAAGGCACCCAGTGCAGCATTCCAGTCCTCACTGGTCACCTACACTGAACAGTGCTGAAAACAAGGTTAACCATGGCCTTGGAAGGTCCCACAGGCACCAGCATAAACAAGACACAGTTGTTTAAACATTATTATTCACTTTGGTCACATGTAAAACTTATTAGGCAGTGAGAATTTTCGAGCAGAGGAAATGTTGTAGCTTTGCCCTAGTCTGCAAACAAGTGGCTGAGGAAGTCATAAAATACATACAAAGCAGAAAGGATGATGGATAATAAGGTTCCCCGTGTAAGCAGGTAGCTCTTTCATATACTTCCCAAAAATTATGTCTTCATTTTCTTCACCATTATTCCATTCGTTTTTCTAAACTACTGATTATTAGAACTACTGACTTGAAACTATTCCATCTTCCTAAGAAATTTTTTAACTTGATTTCCCACCTCTCATCACACTTTTTCTTTGCTAATATATCAATTTTCAGCATAAGCCAACAGAATTTTAACTGTGTTGGTATATAGGAATTATAATGTTCACATTTCACTATTTTTTTCAATGGGAATACATCTCCCATTGTCCACTGTGATATCTTCCACTTTTATAAAGCACTGAAACACACCCAAATTTAATAATACTACAGTTAGAAAGGAACACTAAATCATCAGTTCTGACCACTTGTATACCACAAGTGAATTAGTTTCATGTAACACCGACACAAATTTCAAAGAAATTCAGGATATATGTTAAGTCCATATGAACTAAATGCAACATAATAGTTTTAAACAAACAGAAAAATCCAGTTGTAATCTCCTGCCAGGACCACATTAACAGGTACTAGCTACTGCATTGCTGCAAGCTAATTAAACCAGGTGATCAAAATCGGGAGCCCAGCAAATGAGTCTGGTCCTTGTGTTCAGGGAAAGGCAAACAACTTCTGCGAAGGCCTGTTTCCCTTACATCAATTCAAAAAATACTTCATCAGTAAATGTAAAAGAAAAACACATCAGAAATTTAGAATCAATCAAAATCCAAGTCCTGAATTCTGGGCACTTTATTCTATTTGTTATACGTAAAGAAAATTAGGACAGACAACCAGTTTTATAAGAACTTTGTGGGACCTTTTCAAACACTCTACCATTGGGGTCTCAGCTATCCCTGCAGAATTAGGACTCGAAATTGTAATTAGTCCTCTTGTTTCTCCAGGATTATATTCCTTGTCAGTGCGGCACAGGGAGGTGAAACATTACAGGATCTTCCGCCTTCCAAATAACTGGTATTACATCTCTCCACGGCAAACCTTTCAGTGCCTTGAAGACCTTGTGAATCACTACTCAGGTAAATACAATAGCAACAGCAGAATAAACCTATTTTCCACTAGCAACTGTAAAACTCTGTATCAAAGGTCCAGAACAAGAGGTTTTCCCTACGTCCAAGACTTGAAACTGCTACCACAGAACAACTAGCAGAAAAATGATTGGTTTATATCTTCCACCTTATTTTTGATCCTGAAGATAAGTTAGCTACTGCTGACAGTACAATGGAAATCAACCTGAGAACACAAGATACAGATACAGAACCTGCTTTAACCACAAATTTCCAGATTTATGGCAATTTAACCTGTGTTGAAGAGATGTCTTGAAAAAGCAGCACAATTAAGTGACTGCAGTTATGGTGCATTAACATAAGTTTTAAAGTGAAAGAGAAAGGAGAATTGAAATAAAATAGTTGCGTAAAAGTTACAAGAAAATGACAGGTTCTGGGCTTTAATTAGTAACGGGTACGAAGTATAAAGCCACAGTATTTGCATATTTCATGGGTAAATGAAAAAGGGTATTCTGATAAACTGGAAAAAAAAACATTCAAGTCCAATGATATACGTGAGTGAGAATTTAAACAGGGTAATATTTTTCTTTACATTTTAGTTATCTGGCATCTTTCTCTGTTTAGAAAGAAGAAAAAAATCAAACCCAAACATTCTGAAAAATAATTATAACAACTGGAGTTATAGACGTAAGAGTGGACATAATGCAATTTAGCTCCTCTCCTTGCCCCCTACATGAGATATTTTAGTATCTCACTCTGAAGAAAAACAGGTTATCCCTAACAGTGCAACTGCAATCAACCCAAGAATTCAAGATAAGTACAGATAGGCTTTGCTGAAATAAAGCTCAGAGGTCTAAAACATCAACATTATCAATGACAAAAGAACATATGCCATGTTTGTAGGGGAGCAAAGAGGAGGCAATGGAGAAAAAGAAAAAGAGATGAAAGCTATCTGAATGCAATATGAACATGCAAATCTTGAGTCATTCCAAGCAGAATAGGTGCAAACACAATCCAGTCTGAGTGGTTGTGTCTTGTATCTATTTTTTACTAAGTTTGCATGGCTGAGAGGATGGAAAGCAAAAGCAGAACTCACTAGAGACTCAGGAAACTTGGCTTTAAGTCTCTGATCTGCCATAAAATTCCTTCTAGATTTTTGGAAAATCACTTTCTCTATTTCTTAGTTCCTCACTCATACTATGGGAAACATACCCCTTGATAAATTAAAAAGCAAACATACAAGGAAAAGAAGATAAGCCTGTGTCATTGTGTCCTTGCTGAGATTAACTTCATGTATCTTCATTCCCGTGTTCAGAAGTTGCTGATGGTCTCTGCTGTGTCCTTACAACACCCTGCCTTACCCAGTGCACTAACAACCACAGCATAATGAATCAAGTTCCTCCTGTGGTGATGCGGAATAAAAACTTCAACTGGAGAAGCATTCACAGGTACCACAAGCAACACAAGCTGCCACAAATAACAAATCATTTTTCCAGTCTTACATGTACTCTCACTTACAATACAGGAGAAACAACCATTTGCTTCTCCTGAGGCTAGTTTTAAATCTTCTAAGCTGCTGACAGCATGTGAACCCAGGAGAACTAGATGTCCAGCTCTCTAACTGCTAATCTTAGTACTTTAACCTGCAAAAATATAGTTACAGCATTAAATCATTTCTTCTACCCAGCCAGCAGCACAGTTGCATATGTCCACTGGGACTCATGAGCCCTCTCTGCCACGGGGGAAGAAGTAAGAGACAGGGCATAACCCATGCTCAGGCCCACCGCTAGTAGCATATGAGCCCCTGTAATCAGAAATGGTTACACCTTGTTCACGGCAGTCACCACAAAGCAATGTACACAAGTATAGTGTACACACTGTCCCAGCTTAAATCTTAGGTCCTGTTTCCTCTCATTCAATATATAATCCAGCTGAAGGTCCATAAGATTTTGAATGCCTTGACTGCACATAGAGAAAGTAGGCTGGGTTTCAGAAGCTGGTGAAGCAACCACCTTCATAAACAAAACTGCCTCTTATTTCTCAGGGATAAACTTTCCAACAATACCCTTCCTTCACAAAGTACTTTCATTTGCTTACAAATACAAGATAATTTTGTGCTGTATTGAAGCCCACTTTTTTCTTACAGATAAGGAGAGAATGTATAGGGAGGTTATTTCCTTTTAAAATGCTCAAAAAAAGATACTACTATTGTACTGTCATAGAAAATCACTACAAGACAGAAACATTTGGTGATTAATAAGATGGAATTTTTTTGTGAAATAAAATTAACATTGTTTGGCTTAATGACTGTTAATACTAGACTCAGTTTAAGTAGTTAGAATGGTAACAACACTTCATTTTTTTAAAGGATGGAGATGACTGGAGATACGGAAGGCACACTGGCAGCAATAGATGACTCCTGTCTCAGCTATGGCCTGAGGGAAAGCATTGCTTCCTACCTTTCCTTGACAGGGGATGACAGCTCTTCTTTTGTGAGTGCCAGAAAGAAGAAAGCACAGTCTCTTATATACACAGGGAGCAAGCATAAGAGTACCCTTCACTTGCCACCTACATATTATGAAGACTGACCCTGAGACAGCAAAGGGAAAAATGGAAGCTGAGTGCTTAGAAAAAATTACAGACCATCCTGTGGTCCTGCAGTACTTCAACAGTTGAGAGACAATGCACACCAGCTGGTGATAAAACTCTGACTGTGCTTCTGCATTTCCTCACCACAGACCTTTGTGAGGGTACTATCTCATGCCATATTCTGGAATTGTGCTGTGTGCACCTGAAATTAGAAACTGCTCACTAACAAGATAAACTGAGGCACTCTAAGCCAAGAATTAAGTGAGGCAGAGGATTCTTCAGTAAGGATGATGCCCACCATTATACAAAGGTGACTGGATATGAAAAGACTAACTGCAGCTTGAGACTGTAAATTAAAGTCTTAGTCTAGTACTCTCCACAAGGCTGAAAATCATGTTTACAGAATCTGCCTACTCTGAGAGAAAGAGCCTTTTTTATTCTCCGTACCTACTCGTCATTACCGGTGAGTTGGAAAGCCTCCAAGAAAATATCAAGTAATTGTCATCCAAGAGACACCTCGTTATATTGACTGTACACATTGTTAATTCTACCTTCGGGGAAAAAAAATAACGTCATTGACTTTCCAAGAGGCTTTTAATTCACTTGGGTGCAATGGCCTGTAGTGTCACTGAAAGATCACAAAACGAAGACCAGGCTTAACTCAATGAGAAGTTCTTGCTAAGACCTGATATGGAAGAACAGGCATATCCAAAAGCAGAACCTAACTACTCTTAATCCAGTGGATATTCATCAGAGAACCAAGTGGATGTTTTTTAAAATGAAAAGTAAAATATTGTAATATAATGCCTAACTGCAAAGGTAGGCTGGCAAAGGAGTGACCTTTGAGTAAAGGACAGAACTTTAACCTCATCTCCTGAAGGCACACCATATTTATGTATAATATTTATATTAATATCAGCTTTTAAATAATTAAACTAATAGAAAAAATCAGAAACAGTGGATTTTGAAAAGTTTTCTGAACGTCTTGTCTGAAGTATTATGTAAAATTGCTTTACAATTTCATAAAGCAACTGGGTTGTTTTAAATATCACAGACTAGAGAATTTTTCAATGTGTATGTACCCTTGCCAAATTAAAATGAAGCCTGATAGTGACAGACCAAGGGGGAATGGATTTAAAATAAAAGATGGTAGATTTAGTTTAGATATTAGGAAAAAATTCTTTATTCCGAGGATGGTGAGGCACTGGCACAGGCTACCCAGAGATGCTGTAGATGCCCCATTCCTGAAGGCACTCAGGGCCAGGTTGAGTGGGGCCTGGGCAGCCTGAGCTGGTGGATGGCAATCCTGCCTACAGCAGGGAGTTGGAACTGGGTGATCTTTGAGGTCCCTTCCAACCTAAGCCACTCTATGATCCAATCAGATTACCTGGTCCTTGGAACTTGACTTGTGTTTACTGTGTAAATTATGTAGTCACATCTGGGGACGTAAGATGCTGCAATTTATGTACTTCAGTGGGCATCTTTTCAATCTAATCCGCTGCTGTACTCTTTTTTCTTTGTTCTTTTTTTTGGAGGGGGTGTGAAGCGGGGTGCAGATTTGAGTTTAGAGACAGAGGGAATTGAATGCATTTCCTCTGTAAATATCTCTTGGAACATATACTATATCTACTACAGTCTATATCTACTATACATCTATTATATCTATATGTACATCTACTATATTATAGTAGATCATTTGCACTAGAAAGAGAGCAAGAGAAAGTCAGAGAAAAAAATAGCATAAACATACTTCAGAACTTTAAAGGTGAATGTAGTTTGGCTGATAAACCTTAAATAAAAGCTTTGAACAAAAAGCAAAATGAACTCATGTACTTTAGATGTTTATATATTCTCATCATTACTGTTAGTAATATAGTGATATTATTTTTTTATTGTGTCAACTGTATTGTAACCAGTGAAATGTATATGGGGAGCATTACAGATTTCTAAGTTGTGACTCACATTCATTAAAATAACACCCAGGAGTTACTTTGTATTGCTTTAAAAGATTGAAAAGCTGGCAAACTATTACAAGCACCTAGTCTTACAGTGATATGTCTAGATGTTATCTTTGACACAGCACAACAAGAAATCCAAGAGTTCATGCAACCTGGAAAATACTTCAGTCTCCACTCTGCAGAAAGGGCTAAGACATGCTCTGATGAGGACAGGCACACAAACTCACAGAATGGCTGAGGTTGGAGGGTCCTCTGGGTCCATCTGGCCCAATCCTGCTCAAACAGGGATACCCATAGAAGTGCTTCCTTGTGTTCAGAAGGAACCTCCTGTGCTCCAGTTTGTGGCCATTGTGTCTTGTCTTGGCAGAGATGCTCCAGTCCCTTAATAATTTTTGTGGCCTTTCAACTGAAATCTCTCCAGTAGTTCTCTGATACTGTGGGCCCCAAACTAGATGCAGCACTCCATCGATATTAACTAGATTTTCTGGCTAGAAGTAAGTAGATTAATTGTGTAATCCTTGGTGTTATGCACACAACCTAGATATATGTCTAGTTGTACATTTGCAATTTCTCCATGATGACTATTTATACAATCACATTGTACAGGATAGACAGTGTTGGGGAAAAAACAATCTCCAGGCTGCTAGGACAGTACACTTTTGTTACCTTCCTCTCCAGACTATGGTTTGAGGTATACATGAGTAAAGTTGCAGGAAGGATGGAACTTGGATGAATCTTCCTAGTAGGTAAGTCATCTGTGTACTAATAATTAAAAAGAAATGGAAGGCACCCTGAAGTTTCTCTACTCTCCTACTCTAGAAAGGACTAATGTCACTTAGCACAATCCTGACACACTTTTAGTTTGTTTCTAAAAGCCACCATAAATACACAGCTCTCCCCTGCTTCAGGCAATTCCAAACCCTCCTGGCTGCACAGTGGAATCTTGCAGCCAGCAACTGGTTGGAAAGTTAGAAGAAAGTCTCTAGTCACCCACTTTTAATCAATGACAAACACGGTGGCATCACTCCATGGCTTCAGCAACTGTAATCTAAACTGGAGTTACAGGCAGATTACTGGGCTTCTGCCCTGGCCACACATTAATGTATCTATAAGTAACATGATTAAATATGGCATGTGGCATGGGAAACTGCTGGGTTTAAATAACACATAAAGTGAGAGGGTGACAGAAGCTATGTATTGAGAGCATGTGAGTGGAAAAGACTGTGTTAACTGGAGCCTGGTAGTAGATGGATCTTCGGGAATCAGGCAGCTTCTCCCTATTTTCAGACAAGACATATGCTTCCAAATGCTTCCAAGTCCTACAGTTAAGTCAACAGGCCTCTTCTTACATAAAATTGCATTGGTATATAACTCAATTAATCAAAAGATGACATCAAAAAGTATTAATGCACTTAATTTGATTTAAAATAGAACACTAGTCATTAAGATTTAATATATTTTTTTAATATCATACTAGTGAAAGATGAAATGAGATATAAGAAAGAGTCATCCTGACAGTTTTGCATTGATTTTGTACAGTCTGTTTTCAAATTGCTTCAAAACAAAACCTATTACAGGACAGATAGAGGAAACTCAAAAGCACTTTGCACACCCATAGAAAAATATTATTGCTTAATGGGATTTCCCTCTGGAAATCTGTTATATATATAATCAGTTTCATGGTTCGTTGTCTGTGTGCAGCTCCTTTTTTTTATAATGAAATTAGAAAATTTTGTCATCTCATAGAAAAAAACAAGACACATTCCTTTACAGGAGATATATCAGAGAAATCTGAATAAATCAAAAGTTTTATGTTGCATACCTACTTTACAAAAAAAAAAAAAAAAAAAAAAAAAAAGATACAGTAGAATTTTGAGCCACTGCTATTAATGTTGATTTTTTGCTTTAACAAAATTAAAATTAAGTCCACCATGGCACTGTAAGAAGTATTTCACAATACTATTTTGAAATAAATGAATTATCCTGCTTTTGCTGAGGCAAAAGTAAGGTGTTCATGGTCTTGGGAAGAAAATTGCTGTTACAGACATTAAATCAGTGGGAAGAATTGACACATCTGCTGTTCATTGTATTTTCCACTGTTTTCCACTTTTCAGTTATCCACTTTTCAATATTTCAACAAGCAGTTCAATATTCATTTTATAAAAGACCAAAAAGATGCAGTGTGGAACCAGACTCCAGCAACAGCGATAAACCAAGATGCACTTTCACTTCCCTTTCATCAGTTGCTCAACTGGTAAATTGCACTGTATCCTGTTACAGCTCTCAACAGGGCCACATCCTATCCTGTTTCAGAAAAGTGTGTTTGACTTCAGAGAAAGAGTAGGATGGAACTGTATTGTGGGAGAAGAGGACTCTACTGGCAAATTACCTTCTATGTCAAAAGACGAGTAAAAATCTGTGAATTGTGTTAGGAATTATCTGAGAATGTCCTTAAAAAAATACAGCTCGTGAGCAATAATTTTCAACAATTTCCCTTGTCTTCTGTGCTAGGGTTATACAATTAAAATGGTCTTACTGAGATATGCAGATGCACAAGGCAAGTTATACTTCCTGGCAAAAAAGAAGAGAAATCAAGTAACAAATAGAGACTTCATTATTTTCAAGGCAAGTTTTTAATAAATTGGGCCCCAGGTTTCCTGGACTAAGTTCCTCTGCACACATTTCCAAGCATATAAAAGTCCACTGAAGATTAAGCCTCATTTCACAGCACAGTACTCTTATTTGAGGCTGTGAAGATCAGTGGTAGTATTGAGGCTGACAAAACTGGCCTGAAGTCCTGAAATTCAGCATAGGAAGGGCAGTAAGCACAGAGAACAGTTGAGGTGATGGCGAAAAAAATCCAAGCTGACAAGCAAACAGATTTTGGAGGCTTTGAAACTTGATTTTCTTTTAAGTGAAATTGTTAATCTGTCATGAGATCAGATGAAGACCGGATTCTTCAAACATGCGGATGTTTGGCTCATCATTTCTAGAGTCTAAAAACTGCTGATCAATAACTGTATTTATGGAATGGAAACTAACCTGTTGTCCTTATAAATTATGAAAGAAAACTATTTATATAACACAAAAAAACCACAGTGACGAGAAAAAGATTCTTAGTATGACTAAATCAATCACCAAATTACATCTCTTGTACATCCTTGTGAAACACCTAACTCTGGAGATAGCAATCACAGGTGAGAAGAAAAATAACTACAGCAATAACAGTTATATTTGTACTGCAAAAGACATGGATGAAATAAAACCAGCACCCACACACACGTCACAAAATTGTTTCAAAAATGAATCTGAAACAGCAGGAATGTGACTTACCATCAATAACACCCTCCTGAAGAGACCCATATTGATTGCTTCTGTCAGCAGGTGAATGCTAGCAATGTCTGCACCACCACGATCAGCTCCTACAGTCACCTGGCTCGGATCTCCACCAAAGCTACCAATGTTCTGCTGCACCCACTTCAGAGCTGCCAGCTGATCCAAAAGGCCTGCATTTCCACTTGCCTCAGAAGAGCCTGTCGTGGGAAATAAATAAATCAATTGGGAAAAAAAAATAATAATAATAAAATGGAAAAAAACCCCAACAACTAAAAACATTTGAATTTTTGTTAACTGCTACAGTCCAGGTATCAACAATTCACATTACCACTTTTTCTGGTGAAAGCAAGAGACAACAGATAGTTTGCCAAAACTGCAAACCTAAAATCTGAACTCATCTGCCAAACCATTACCATGCATCTTTATTCGTTAAGTGCTTGAAATAATTATCACTCCATTTTCCAAGCTTCATTCCTTTGACACACTGGTTGCCCAGAGAGGCAATGGGCACCCATCCCTGGAGACATTCAAGATCAGGATGGATGGGGCTCTGAGCACCTGCTCTAGCTGTAGGCATCCTTGTTCATTGCAGAGGAGTTGGACTAGATGACCTTTAAAGGTCCCTTCCAACTCAAATGATTCTTTGGCTCTGTGTTGATTTAGACGATGATTTAGATGCCTGATGGTGGGAGACATGAATCCAGGTTGAGGTTAAAACTATGACATTCTAAGTAGCTTGAACTTAAATTAAAATCAAGCAAAAATCAGTATTTGACTGGAGCATATCTCACTGCATCCTTCTGCTACCTGTATCCGTTTTTCACCTTCCTTGTTTAACCAATTATATATGTCACATCATCTTAGATTTCTTCAACCACTCTTAAGAGTATTCTAATTTATAATATTTCCATATGAATACTTTGAGATTCACTGATGTACAGATGATAGAGATATGAATTTTAAGTATTAATGACTTTGTTTCCATGAAAATAAATGAAAAAAATAATCATGTATTCCCAATATTTAGGTATCATCACTGGAAAGACTTTATCTTCCACACCAGCCAGTGGAAACCCAATCTTTCAATTAATAGGAAAACAGCACTGAAAACTTCTAATGATGCAAATCCCAAGGCCAGCTTATGTTTATAACAACAAAAGCAAAAATAAGTAATTCCTTCACAGTCTCAAAAAAAAAAAAAAAAAAAAAAAAAAAAAATAATAATTCACTATCTACTTCATTTTATTTCACAATGAGCCATTTATTTTTAATGATTTAAAATTCTCCACATTCAAAACTAGAAAAAAATTCAACAGAAGAAAAGCCAGGAATAGAAACATAGCTGAAATTATCTGTTTATTCCATTACCAAGATCAAATAGTCTACTTTTAAAGAGCAAACTTGGAAACTAGGGAAGGAAATGAACAGGCAGTGGAATAAAAAGCTGTCACTCTGTGGACCTGTCTCAGGCAAAGAGCGACTGAATGCATACACTGTGTAGTAGATATCTGCATGCCTTCCATAATGAAGTACTGAGATACCACAGCTGGTTTAAGTAGCAGAACAGAATGTAGTGGAGGCCAGATTACTGATAGCCTTGCTGATCATAAAGATACTCACAGCACAACAGCCATCACTGTAATTCTCCTTTCAGAAGTACAGCAAATAACTAAATATATTGCTCTGGAAATTA